AAATGGATAGAAGTAGAAAAAATAATCGTGAGATAATCCAGACCCAGAAAGGCAAATATGATATGTACTCCTTTATAAGTGGATATTACCTATAAAGTAAAAGACAGTCATGCTACAATCTACAGACCCAAAGAAGCTAAGCAACGAAGAGGACTTCACAGGGGACACAAGGATCCCTGAGGGAAGGGGAAATGGAATAGATTTTGCATGTGAAATAGGAACAGGTGGATTTGGGAACAGGAGGGATGAGATGAAGAGAGGAGGAAAGGAGAAAATACTGGGAGAAATTACTGGAATTGGGGACCATTTGGGGAGCAAGGTGGTTAACCTAATTCAATGGAAACTCCATGGAATCTACTAGAGTAACCCTAGCAAGTACTCCTAGTAATAGTGGACATGGGGCCATCTTCTGTAACCAGACAAGGCCTCAAGTGGGACACCAACCCAACCACAAAACCTTCGATGGGTTGTCCTGCCTAGAGGGTGTTCTGGAATGGGAGCCTAGCAGAATCATCATCAAAGAGACCAGAGAGACTTCGTCTAGCAACTGATCGGCGCAGATACAGAGTCTCACAGCCGAACATTAGGGGGATCTTGGGGAGTCCTTTGGAGGATGGGGAGGAAGGATCGGAGTTAACCAAAGTAGTCAGGGGCACCATGAGAACAGGGCCCATGAACTCATGGTCTCATGGTCACTTGCAGAGATCAGGGACTCTGTAGGGGTCTGTTCTATGTCCTCCGCATATGTGTTATGGCTAAGTAGCTTGATCTTGTGGGAATACTAACAGTGGGAGCAAGGCTGTCCCTGACTCTTTTACCTACTTTCGGCATCTTTTTCCTCCAACTGGATTGCCTTGTCCAGCCTTGATGTGATGGTATGTGCCTGATCTTACTGTAGCTTGTTATGCTGTGTTTGCTTGATGCCCCTGGGGGGCCTGTTCTTCTTTCAGAAGCAGAGTGGGATGAATCTGGGGGAGAGGGGAGGTGTCTTAAGGTTTTATTGCTATGAAGAGACACCTTGACCAAGGCAACTCTTATAAAGGCAAACATTTATTTGGAGCTGGCTTACAGTCTCAGAGGTTCACTCCATTATCATCATGGTGGGAGCATGGCATCAAGCAAGTAGACATGGTACTGAAGGAGTCAAGAAGTCTACATCTTGGCTCCATCCCAACAGTGACACATCTACTACAACAAGGCTACACTTACCCCATTAAGGCCACACCTCCTAATAATGCCATTGGTTGTGAGCCAAGCATTCAAACACATGAGTCTATGGGGGCCAAACCTATTCAAACCACCACATGAAGTGAACGGGGGGGGGGGGGGAAGGGGGGACAGGGGAGGAGGCTGAGGGAAGGGAAGGGAGGGGAAATTTCGTTTGGGATGTAGTATATGAGAGAAGAGTAAAAATTATTTTAAAAAGAAATAAAAAGTAAATAAAAAGTGAAAAATATATAGATGAAGAGCTCTGAGAATTAAAAAAAGAGGGCAGGGCACACACGCGCACGCACACACACACACACACACACACATTAATGACTGTCAATATTGCAGTTTTTGCCTTGATCTTAATCTTCGAGCTGTGTTATTTGCAGATTCTGCCAGGAAGTAGAAAGCCCTCAGATTCAGAGACTTTAGAAGACTTAGGTGTTAAGCTTCCCTGAAAAGAAAAAAAAAATTCCTTTAGCAAGATGTGCTCCTTTGTGTGCCTGTCTCTCTTAAGTGTACTCACTGCAGTTATGTGATGTTCAGACACCATTTCATCTGATCTTCCAGACAGTTCATCTGCTGTAGCCATCTCTCTTGAAAAGCAGTTGTGTAAAACCAACTTGATAAACTTAATTCTGTATCCTAAAACACACTCTTATTATAAATATAGCGCATGCTCATTGCAGAAAACATGGGAAGCAAAGCAAACTACCCGGAAAACTGTGGACCTCCCATGGCTCACGTCACTTCCCGTTTGCTTTCCTGTGTCGGCTTTACAAGGATGTAAAGGTTGTGAGTCGGGGATCAGCATGCTCTTCTCCTACTGTGTCAAAGCACCTGATCTAGCAAGCAAACACTTAACAAATACATTGCATGGACAGGATAAAAGCGTGGCTTTTATGCTGACCCCTTTGAATTTTTCCTATTTGTATCCTGTTGATTTTCTTCCAGGCCTTTAAAATGGGCTCTCTTTAAATGCATCACCCTCGCTTTTTCTGGGCAAAAAAAAATTTTTGTTACCACCTGGCTCCTGGTCTTCTGAGGCTTTTATTGATCCAGGACAGACTTTTTCATATGGATAGGCCTGGAGGAATCTTTTGTTTTTCTCTTTAGTTTTCCATAAAGGAAAACCAAGACAACACAATACATTGCCTCAAATAACAGCAATTTTTCTCTGACTTGAGGCCAGATTCAACTTGAACCTGATTGCCACTATCCCAGAATGCAACACTGATAACCCAACACTATGACTCGCCCTGAGATCTTCCTCTCCACATGCATAGGAGTCCACCTGAGGAGGAGTTAAATTTCTATCCCTGGTTCAACTTAGGAGCCATAACTTTCCTCATCAGAAGACTGATTTAGGTTTGCAGGCATCCTTCCCTGCTGACTCTGCAGTGAAGAGCCCCAAGGGGTCATCCTCACAGCTGTCACACTGGTGTCTGTTGACTTAAGTTTTTCCTTTCAGAAAAGTATAACTTGCTTTGCTAGCATCCTTCCCAGCTTAACTTCTTTTCGTGTTAAATGTCCTATTATATAAAGGGGGAGTAGCATCTATATTCTTTTGTGTGTGCCAGAGCCTAGTTTTTTATCAGTTGAATTTTGAAGGTACAAAGGAGCTGAAAGACCCAGCAGCAGCCAATGCCACATAGCAATTCATGAAAGAGATGGCCTCTTTTCTTTTCCTTTTTACTGCTCCCAAACCTCCAATTAGCACTTGAAAGTACTGTGCCCATTGTAATAGAATTGGATGGTTTTATACTAATTAACGTTATTTTGGTGCACAGTGACACACACACACACACACACACACACACACACACACACAAAAGTCTTAAAATTAGTATGAAAAATTTGTGCATTGGGAGAGAGTCTCATGTGGTGTTTTCCAGCCTGGAAAGGCAAGGATAAACGTGCCTTTCATGGTCATCCTTCATTTTCTGTTCATTCTGTTCATTATTTCCTGTGACGCTCTGAGTCAGCACAGGCTCAATTCAGATCAGGTCTCTCTCTCTCTCTCTCTCTCTCTCTCTCTCTCTCTCTCTCTCTCTCCTCCCACTTCCTGTTCCCACTTACTGTATAGTATGGGTTATAAATAAACCATGCAGAGATTTGGAGAGAGTATTCTAAACATCCCTGTAGTTCAAATCATTTCAATCACAGAGCCTCATATATGTTTCAATTGTATGCTTTGGTTCTTTTTATTTTATTGACAAACAAAATTACACGTCTCTATTGGATACAACAGTTTTTTTTAAAAGAAAATGCATATACATCATAAAGTGACCGAGTCAAGCGAGCTGAGAAGCACATCCACTCCCTTGTTTACTCACGTTGAGAACCCATGCAGGTTCTCTTAGTGACTTTCCACTGTTGATAACTGAAGTTTCCAGGCTGTACAATAACTGTCTCTTCAGTTTTGGTGTTGAGAAAACGTTCCTATAGGTCCAAGGTGTCATCTGATGACATCCTTAGCTTTTAGAATGGTGAAAGCTAGTAGCATGCAAAAATAATAAGGTTCTAAAAGGTTTCATCTATGAGTCACACAACATGTTAATTCCAACACAGAGGTGGGTAACAACTAGCTGTTCCAGAGGGCTAGAACTAGTCCAAGATAAGGTATCTAGCCTTTGTTCCTGAAGAGTTCCAATGTCTCTGCTGTACTGAAATTCTAATCAGTCAATCAGTTTCTGCACACAGAGCTTCATCCAGGAGCTTCTGTTCACATTAGAGGACCAGATATGACAGAGCTGTGGGTTCCATCACACTTGAAGATGTTCAAGAGTCTGAAAGAGTTTCAGGCCTTGCCCAAAGAAAGCAGAATTTATTCTCCCAATGTCCCTATTGAGAGAGTAGGGAAGGGAAGGCGGGTCTAAGGAAATAGGACCAAGGTCCCTGACCTTCCCAATCACACAGTGAAATAATGTTTTCTTGTATTTCTGGCCCAAACGTGTTGAAAAGTTCCAAGGACATTTCTGAGTAAGAAGCTTCTAGAAATACCGTGGGGCCTGGAAACTCTGCTACATATTAGAGTTACTTCTACTGTTTGCAGACCTTCTGTGTGGGTTTTGCCATCTGGAAAGCTGGGGTTTCCAGGAGGTGGGGAACTTGGATTTTGTGAGCCATGAGAAAAGAAGAGATGGTGGTCAAGTCTGTGGGGTACCAGAACTGTGTGACAATAGTACTTTCTGGGAGCTACTGTCAGAGATGAGCTTCAGGGAGGTATAGGAATGACAGAAGGGTGTGGGGCCCCCCTGAGTTCCTAGTGTAATCACGTCCATCTGTTTTTGATCAGAATCCAAGACTTGCCATCGCAGGTGCCCAGGCTGAATGGGGTTCTTAATAGTTTTCTGTTTCAAACCTGCAGCAAATTCTTTGTTTACTGTTAATGTTCTGTAACATTTGTAACTTTTTGATAAAGTTATAGAATGTCCAGGGTCTACCTCTTCAACCTCCTATTCAAATTGACTTTTAGTCTTTGATGCTTTCAAATTCTTAAAGTCATTGCTGGATCTTCAGATATACTCATGGCTTCCTGTTTTTGCTATCAGCTTGTATAACATGCTGTCAATAATAATAATAACAACAGCAACAACTGCATGCAGTATAACATTTATACTTCATTTATAGTATTCATTTGGTAATCCCGTAGTAGGGAACACCAAGAACACTAGGGCAGCCCCACCCCCACCCCCTTCCCAGTCCACGAGCTAACCTGAGCCAGTGATCAGCTGGGGTGTAAATGTGGGGGTGGGGAATCCGGGAGGCAGCTGCGCAGGCGCATATGTGGCCCCACCGCCATGGCGGACAGTGGCCCCGCGGGGGCCCCAGCATTGACTGACTCGGGCCTGGGGCCAGGCAGTGCCAACACGGGGCCCCGAGTCAACTTCCAGAGTCCCCCTAGGACCCCAGGCGAAACCTCTGGCCCAGGGAACAACCCGGATGAAGATGGTCAGGTGAGACGGCCAGGGAAGATCATCGTCAAGTACAACCGCAAGGAGCTACGGAAGCGCCTCAACCTGGAGGAGTGGATCTTAGAACAGCTCACGGGTCTCTACGACTGCAAGGAAGAGGAAATCCCAGAGCTCGAGATAAATGTGGATGAACTCTTGGACATGGAAAGCGATGATACCCGGGCTGCTAGAGTCAAGGAGCTGTTAGTTGACTGTTACAAACCCACCGAGGCCTTCATCAATGACCTGCTAGACAAGATCCGGGGCATGCAGAAGCTGACCATACCCCTGAAGAACTAAAAAAAAGGTACTGACTCGGATGACCTTGGCTCCCACAGGACAATCGCTGTCCCCCAACGTCGTAGCAACAGCAATACTAGGTAACCCTGCAGCCAAGCCTGGTGCCATGAGCAGGGATCCTATTGTCCCTGCCCAGGGGCCACTTCTCTTGCCCTCAGTTTTCCATTTTGGTTTTTTATTTTTATTTTTGATTGTTATTAAACTGATGGGACTTTGAAAACGAAGAACCACACAAGGACCATAAGTAGAGAATTGTAACTTTGGTAATTAACATTCTTTTCTCCCTAACCTCTGTGAGTCACATCACCTGAAAACTGCTAAGTTTGAAATCATGAGCAGTGTGTGGTCCTTTTTCTAAATGAAACCTCCTTCAATTTCTCTAGGGATTAAGGAGTAATATATTTTAAAAGTATAACTGTCAACAAGTGAATCATACCCATAAAAATGCTAATTTCATTTGTTTGGGTGATCTATCAGTTCAGTAGATTTGTAAAATGACAGTCTACAACGCGATGGTAGAAAATGCTGAAGGACAGTGATGTCCTTGTCTCCAGGGAGCAAAGCCCCGTGACATGTGACCAGGGGAGAAAGTACACATGCAGAAGAGGGAGGAGCAAGGGAGGACAGAATGAAGGACTTGGAGCTGCTGTCATCCCTTCTTCTCTCTGAAGGAGGAGTTAAAATCATCCCCCTGCCCACCCACCTCAGAGGATGGAGAACCAGGAAATCTACCCTTCCAGGACCCAGAGCGATTCCAAGGCACTTCCTGCTAAACTTAACTTCCACCTGGCAGCCTTGCCATTGCTCAGTGCCTGGCTAGTACTCTCCAGCTGGCTTCGAGGCTTGGCCCATCATTTCCCAATCCACAGCCAGGACCTGAGCTAAAGCCAGGATATCATCCCAGGCTTGCTGGGGTTAGCAATGTCGGATGAATGTTTCAGCTTCTCCTGTTCTGAGTCTAAACAACAGCCTGCAGCTTTTAAAGACCATGAAGCTGTTTTCCTGCCTGCTATGGAGACACAGGGAATTGGTATCCTACATCTTTGGGTTTGAATTCTGTTCCTGTCACTTACTGGCTTTGCAAGTCCAGGCAAATCACAAAACCGTTTCAAGCGTTTGTTTTGCTCCTGTTAAATAACAAAGACCCACCTCATATGGTGAGAAGTTACCTCCAGTACACCAAGAGCTGGCAACAATTCCCATTTCTTTTGTTGGGCCCCCCCCCCCCCCGCCTCTGTTCTTACAAGTTTTGTTACTTTCAGCTCATTTTCTTCATTGAATGGGGACAAGGAAGGCAGTAATAAAAATGTACATTTACAGTTGTTTAGAAAATAAAATTAATAAGCCGAAACATGTTAAACAAGATCCATTGATATTAAATGCTCAGTATTGTTCTAATAGATAATTACATTCATTGGTGTTCAGATCTGGATCTCTGACTTCGGAAGCAGAGAAGTAGGGCCTCTCTTTTATTTTTCTCTAGATACCGAAAGGGAAAGAAAAAACTTTATCCAGAACTACCCTATCCTTCATGGGGTTTACTATCAACTTCCAGCCCAAATCCTGACCCCATCCCCTGCACACTTTCTGCTGGAGCAAGGACATATATACAGATCCTTGCTTTATCATTAAGTAGGGCCTGAAAGGCACTCAGGAGACACCTCATCAGTTGATAAAGAACTCTCTGAATGTTTGTAATTTGAGATAATTATTGGGCCTTTTGTTGAGGGCTATTGAAATCCATCTTCCAATCATTTCAAACGAGGCTCCAACACCTGTTAAGTTTCACAGTAAGTACACATCTGTCTTTCATTGATACCCATCCACCCCTCCAGCCATTACAGCCTGAGCTGGGTAAGATCCTGGTCAGGAGTCAGGAGACATAAAAAAATCATTCCAGCTAGTCAATGGTATGGTGTGGTGTGGTGGTTTGAATATGCTTGGCCCAAGGAAAGTGGCATTATTTATAGGAGGCCTTTTAGAGTACGTGTAGCCATGTTGGAGAAAGTGCATCACTGTTGGGGCTGGGCTTTGAAGCTCTGCCCAGTTTGGAAGAGTCAGTTTCTCCTGGTTGCAGTCATATCAAGAGGAAGAACTCTCAGCTCCTTACACTACATGCCTTCCTGAACACAGCATGGTAAACATGCTCCTGTCTTGATGATAATGGACTGAACCTCAGAAACAGTAAGCCAGCCCCAGTTAAATGTTGTCCTTTACAAGAGTTGCCTTGGTCATGGTGTCTCTTCATAGCAGACATGTGGACACAGAATCCAGTGATGTGAATTCATGAGGCAGGCAAGGCAAAGGATTACACAGAGTGAAAGTATCATACAGGACTGTCTTTCTTGCTGTTTAAGGGAAGCTGGGTTTTCACAAAGGTGCGAAAATATCAGGTGGGTTGTAAAAGACTTATTTTCCCTCTACCACTTCCAAAATTTCCCTTAACTGTCCTGAAGCACACACCATATGAACTTTTGAGAGGCAAAGCTTAGAGATCCATTGTCCTCATGTCTAGCTTAGAAAACAGTTGCCCTCCAGGTGGAAAAGGCTGCTTCTTGCTTTTAAGCATATTTCTCTCTCTCTCTCTCTCTCTCTCTCTCTCTCTCTCTCTCTCTCTCTCTCTCTCTCTCTCTC